GAAGGTCAAACAACTTCTTATAACCACATTCTACTATATCTAACGCAGTTCATGGTAAGTTAAAGCAATTTGCATATATGAGTGAAGGGAACTAACTTGAGAGAAGTATTTCGATCGGAATCAGAATCAGAATAAATTAAAACAAAATTCACGATACTAGGCCATCTCGAATAAACCAAAAAGAGATGTAAAAATAAAGTTATAACTAAGGGCACATTTTAGAGGTTCCAACTAGTTGGCACATAGTCCTTAGTCTTGCTGATATGCCATCAGTTCCTATAAAATGATAGACATTATAAGACTACACGGAAAAAAGCCGGATAGGTGATCAAAATTTTGAGTATGACAGTTCCGGTAGAAAAAACATTTATCAAAAGAATATTTCGAAGGGCTAAAGAAAAATAAATGCTAATAAATTAAAACAATTTGTCGGAACTACGAAGTAAATAGATGGTAGAGAATACTTAATAAAGACAAAAATGAACAAACACAAGGACAATTGGAATTCTTCTTTATCAAATTAGATTGATCTAAGAGCATTTTCCTTTCAAAAGATATAAACTGTCATAAGAGCAGGCTCTTAGTGATTCAGGGGTTCGGAGAGCCTCAACTGGGTTTACATAATGGTAATTTAGTAGGAATATAAACGGACAACCCAAACAATAAGTAGCAAATTGAAGCCAGTTAGTACGTTATATCTCAAATGGACAAGTTTGATAAAGGATATTAACCAAGTTTAATTAGAACATAACTAATATTAGGGGACACTACTCCTCGACTAAGTTATGAGGAGCCCAAAAAGTATAAATATTCTGAATGGAATATTAAAGTGAAGTAAACACCCGATGGTTGTTTATACCGGATAAGACTAAATGGAAAAATCGTAAAGCAATGAAACAGCGAATAATGGATTCTGGGTGCCAATCCGATAAACAATCAGACGTTTTTAATTACAAGCATAGAGAAAGCATATAAGTACCCATCTAAATCATCGTAAATATCTTTCCGATTAAGAAGGGGAGGCCGACTCTAAAATACAACGAAGGATGAATAAACAAGTAGGATCGAATAAAGATAATAGCAAGCAAATAAAAATGCAATTCGAATAAAAATGTAATTTGATGTTTGTATTAAATTTTTGTTTCACATAAATTCAAGGCAATTGACGGCAAGATTATGCTAAGGTTCATGGATAAAATCAATTCTCAAGATATTTACTTCAATGAAGGTAAAGATCACGTAAAAATCATGGAAATGTCTGATAGAAATTTGAAGGCTATAATGAGATAACAAACGCAAGGCAGAAAAAATATAAATTGATAATACTAATGTAAAGTGAGAATGATTCAAAAGGAAATGATTGTGGCAAAATAGAAACGAGTAACAAGGCAATACAATGGCGGAATAGTGAACAGAGTGTAAAGAACAGTAAAGTGAAACAGACTTAAGTGCATAAAAGCTGATGGGATAAAATATAAAATAGGAAATTATGTAGCGAGGTCGATAAAATAAGAAACAGAAAATTAGTACTGATAACAAATTCGCCCATGGCCAATAGTAGTAGCTATCAATTTAGTTAGTAGCTAGTCAGAACTTGATCACATCTTGAGCAATCAAGCTCCAGATAGCTGAGAAAAAAGTATTGTATAAACATAAAACAATTGATCTCAGAAGAAAGCAAATAGAGATGAAGAAGGTGAGAATATCAAAAAGGGAATAATAAATGATTAAGATAATGCACCAAAAATGTCTTGATAATAAGGATTAAGAGAAAGGCTGAGAATAGGAATGTGCGATAGATGAAGGCTATCAAAAGATAAGAGCGAAAAAGTGAAGCCAAGAAAGAGAGCTGATTAGGAAATAAAAAATTCTCCAACGTACACATTTTTATAGGAAAGATAACGATAAAACAAGGCATTAATAGAAAAGAGTGAGAGCGCCAGCATCACTGCCAGCAAGCAAGAGACCGGCTTCTTTGAGTACATCCATTGCTGTTAGATGACCTTTCATTTGGCGTGAATTGAGACGGCCAAGAGCTGAGTAGGCAGGGCGGAATGTGAGACCAGGGGAATCCGAGGTTGCAAAGTCCTTCTGTTCAGATGGATGGTAGACGCCGAGCATAGCTACTGTGTTGCCTGTTCCTAAGCTAACTGGTGTATTGGCCGAGAGATTGGCGCATGCAGACTGATAAATGTAAAGAAAAGGGTAAATTCAATGGCTAAGCCTCAGGCAGCAGAATAACTTAGAACCTATTTTGGCGACGTAAATAATCGATTCAACTAGCTAAGGGAAATGTATAAATAGTAACAAAAAGTTAAAATAGCCTCAAGATAGTTCGATGCGATTTACTAAGATATATCAAAGAATGATAAAGTAGTAACATAGAAGACAGAATGATAATTCATTTTTGGTGGCCATGAACCATATAAAAAAAATAATGTCTGATGCAGATTTACACACTTATATCTATTGTCCTTCGGGAAGGTAGAAATATTACTTTCTAAGTGACACCAGCAAATCTAAAGAAACGATCAAGATGCAGCTAACTAACAAATTGAGTTCAAGTCCCTCTAGGTCGCTTAAGATGATAAGCTTACTTCCATTTCAAGTGAAAGTGTTTGGTGAAGAGATTGGAAGGTCGATCCCAGCAGAAGACGACGACGGATTCCTCTTGACTAGCTGTCGATTGGTCTTACTCGAACATTCTTGTTGACGCTGTTTCCGAAGAAATCTCTTTCGATTCCAGTGAAAATGTAATAAGCTTTTATTCGAGGTATGGCGGACATCATCAGAGTAGAGTATCATCCTTACAACCAAATTCAAACTAACGAGTCAAGAATCCACTATCTAACCTTAGTCTTAGGCGGCTTAGGATGACTAGAGTTAGTATTAAAGCTCTAGTGATAGTTAAAAAATTCTACTCAATTAGAATATAGGTAACGTGTCGACAGTAATGAAAAATACAGACATATAGGAAAAGTGGGTTTAGAAGGAGCGGGTGGAAGGGATTTATAACTTGGCCTATCTGAAGCTGAAAGTGGATTGCCTCGGAGCTGTGATTGTAGCTTTGTGCGAATAGGTCATCGGCGTACAGCCTTACGATTCCGATGAAACTTTGTTGAGTTTTTATTCATCATGTGACAAACTAAGCTAAGAAATGTGGCCGACCAAATTAGGTAGATGTGTATAGGAAACTAACAAACGCAGGTTTTCTTTTGAATTTATTTTCCGACCGGACGAAATGAGTTAAAGTAGGATTTATGAGGTCTATGATAATTAGGAGCATGCCTCAGGCAGATGTTAATCATCAGGACCAGGAATTAAGATGACTATGCAGAATTCTAGTTGAGAAAAATTATCCATAAAAACTGAATGACAATAATTCTAGTATATTGTCAAATGGGATAAGGGAAATAAATATTTGGGGCTAGATAAAATGTTAGAACATTCTGACGAGGCCTTTATGCGGCCATCGAACAATCTCTCGAAGAAGATAGGCGGATTATTAAGGAATTAGGACATATGGACAGAGTTTTTTCTAGCCTTAAGAACCTAGCAGCCTTTTCAGGGACACTTCAGAGTATGACTAAAAAAGTAGGATTTAAGAGTTGTTAAAATAACTTCCATTTCGAGTAAAAGTGTGATTAAGAAATTCGAAGATCGATCCCACCAGAAGACTACGGCGGGCTCTTATTGGCTATCTGTTGATTGACGTTGCTGGAACATGCTGATTTTATCATCAAAATAATCTTCAATTCCAGTGAAATCGAGCTATGCTTTCGCCTATTAGCTGAAGGGCATCATTAGAGCAGGGTTTCATTCTTACAATCATATCCAAGCTTGTCAATAAAACTCAACGGCTTATCCTTATATATATATATATATATATACCCTATATCTGCTTTTTGATGGGGCATTACGTGATTTGATTAGTACAATATGTAATTCTCGAGGCATGTACATGTCTGTCATGTCATTCCGATTAAATAATTTTGGAATATATATTATATAATGTCAAAACCAAAAAATGAACGGGGAAGCACAAGATCTGAGTTGCCAGTCCGTGTGATAGCCTCGGATGTGCTGACTCATCCAAATGAATATGATCAACTATTTCGACCAAGAATAATCAGTAAAGTTTAGCATAAATATAGAAAAGTCAGGGACGGGACTAAAAGAAATCAAATTTATACTATAAAACTGGTACAGTAGAGATAGTATTCCG